TGTAAAGTAAAATAAACTACGTATCACTAATGATAAATAAAAAAATAGCAATGAATAGCACTGAACTATTATTTTAGAAAATAACTTATTCTTGTACTATATATTATTCGCATTAAATAAAAAATACGAATCGTGAAATGAGCTCTTTATGATATTCTTTCATATCAATATCAATCAAATAATATGACATTTCTTACTTCTTCCTCGCTATTATTGTTAAAAAGGCTCAGATTGCACTAAACATGGCTCTAACTAAGAACAGGACACAAAAGAAAGACGGGCAGATGGAAAAACAATTCATTGAATTACCCCAGAAATCTTCCAAACTTAAAGCGGGCGATAGCCACATACAGTATCTTTTAATGTTCTTGCCTTAGCATGTATAATATAACATGGACTTTCGATGTCGCCGCAACATTTGGCAATATTTTGATCATCTTCCTCGCTGCCAGATTCACCGTGGAAAGGAACATCCATCATTTGATCATCAACATGGCCGTTTCAGATATTCTCATTGCTATTATATATTCGTATGACAGCATTTTTTATCTATTTGCTCTTCCATATCTCTGGGAACTTTGAGATAACAACGTTAAGAATTTAATTTGTTCCAAGCTTTACGATCTCTGACACATCATCAGGGAAAGTATAAAAAGTATAAATTGATTTCCCAAAACTATTTGAAAAAAGTGCCATTCTATATTCTATGACCAAGAGCCAAATATTTTCCCGTACGAACCGACCTAACTCAGTCAATAAGCATTTTATCATATGACCCTCACGAAAAGAAAAATAATTTAAAAAAGAAAGCGCGCGGATTCGAGGAGGGCCGTACGGATTCGTACGGCCCTGCCCGGTCAAAGCCGTACGGCCCTGCTCAAGCCATTTTTCCGAAGGTCTTTCTAAGAGCTCGCGCCCGGGCAGATACGGGTCATATAATAAATTTTATTATTAACCTTATATATTCACTGTATTAATACACTGTCACAAAAGCCGAGCTTGGACTCCATGTGATTATACGTCCCCACAATAGATGATACATTACTTTTTATGTAATTGCTTAGTATATTTTCCCCTTCGTTTGGTCAGATATTAGACCTCCTACCCAACCACCTGTAATATCTAGGACAGATGGTTATGAAAATATTTAATATCCTTGTTTTAGCTAATATTGAGCTTAGATGTCGCGGCACATTTTTAGAAGGCAGACTACTCAGTTTAGCAAAGAGTAATTAGAAAACTTTCTAAGAATTCTAATTATACAAAAAAATAATAATCACGCTGATTAAAAACAAAAAGAAAGAAATGTTTGCGTAGCATATTTTAAAGATAATGAAATTCGAATACTATCATCTTCACAAGTTTTCGAAAATTGTCGGAAACCAAGCCTTCCACAAAATAATTCATTACTCGTGCTTCCGAGTAGCCCGAGTCTGAAAATGCAGACCGTTCTTTGTCGTAGTATTTGGTCATGGTCCCAGACGTTCCTAGCTGTGTCCCTGGGAACTGGGGATGAGAATCATAACCGCATGCTAATCTAGTCTCCTGTTTCCTTCGTTCCTTCTGCTTCGGTTCGTGGGATCATAATAAAAGATGTTGCGCGAAGAAATGTTTGGAAAGTGCTATTTCTTATACGATCATCCTACATACAAACTCACTCACCATTCGTGGTAGGCCCGCACTAAAAAATGTAGAGCTTATTCGGAACGGGTCGGTCCGCGAATCTTATAGCTTGAAAGCATTGAAATCTTTGAAAACATGTAAGCTTACTAGACAAATTCATACTAGTTCTAACGAGGTAACAAATGTACGGTGGCCCACAAGGGACATCTGTTCCATACAAATATTGAGCTTTTCCCTACAATTGTTGAGCTCTTCCGTACAAATATGGAGCTTTTCCCTACAAATAGAGTTCCTCTATAAAACATGAAGCTTTTCCGTACATTCATCGAACTCTTCCATACAGATCTTGAAATATTTCCGTAGAAAGATCCAAGCCAAGGGGCTGGGGGCCAGCAAGCAATTTAAAGATCGAAATGGCGTATAGGTGATATAACATAAAGCGTCGGCAAATTTATCCCAGGAATTTTTTTCAAGATGTACTGAAACC